AAACCCCAAAACCCCAAAACCCCAAAACCCCAAAACCCCAAAACCCCTAGCAAAAAGAATCGAATTGAAACTGTGTTTAACTAATAGTACAACCCAGAATGTGAGGAATATTATTAAATAAGACTATCTTATAAATTTGTTTGGACTTCCAATGGTGATTCTTATTCTATAGAGATCCTGACATCTATCAGAAATCATGAAGTTATTCATTCTAGATTTTTCACCAGAATGAATCCAATACACCTTTAGAAGTCCTTCATGCAATATGTTATAGTTTAAGCAACTACTTCTGAGTTCTTAAAGGTTCCGTTCAAGTGCAACTCAATGTGCTTCTTCAAGTTACATTGTTGGGTAAACCCTTTGCTGCAATACTGGCAGATATGGGGCCTAATCTTGGTGTGAACTCTAGAGTGGATAATAAGGTTCCTTGTCTTCTTGAACTCCTTTCCACACCCATCATGAAGACAGACAAGGACTCTACTGGTCCTCTTTGTCTTTTGGTTATAAGTCTCTCTGGACTCATATTCTAAATTCTGCTCCTTTAGTCTTCTTTCCTGGGTCTTCAAACGGACATCAGATTTTGCCTTCTTCGATCTTCTTTCTGTATACTCAGAGTTGTCATAATCGAGAGTATTCGAGAACTTTCTCTTCTTTTTAGTTCTATACAGGAAGATTAACACTGGGATTCACCAAATAGAAAATTTGGAAGTATTCCAAAATTTCGAAATCCATATTTGGAAGCTTAAAAAATTCAGAAATTTCTATCATTTCTGGTACGAAATGCTAACTTTGAAGGAAGAAGTGCTTACCCTTCGTTTGAATGCTGTTCTTCAGTGTTATAGCTTGTTGCCATGTGGTTCAGTGGTGGCAACTGGTCACCACCTAGACCCATGCAGTTCTCATAATTCATCGCTGAATTGTACATTTGGAAATAGGCCAAGGCCATATTTTCCCAATAATATTTAGCTGGCCAAATCATTTCGCGATTGATTAAAGGGAGGTCGTACTTGGCGGTTAAGGCCTCAACAGTCAAGTCCGCGTCACAATGGCACATTTTCTCCTGATCTTTGGTGTCCTCGATGACGTTTTTGGTCGATTCACTCATATTCTAAATTTGAAGTTAGCAACAGTGGCTTAGTGAACGAATTTCGTTCGGATCAAAGAATCTCTAGCTTCTAATTAAAAATTCTTAAAAATGAACAGATTCGTAGCGCATAAAGCCTATCGGAACACTTATAGGATAGGTTTAATTCATATGAAGAATTTTACCAATACGCCCTTTCGTGCATTGTTCACTTAAAAGGTGATTTGAAGAATTTTCAAAATTCGGTCCAAAAATGCACAAAAAGAAAAATTCTGGATCTTTCATTTCTAATAAAAGCTACTAGCGCCAAAGATAGGAGCCAAAGACTTCCAAAAATGGCTAGTTTACAAAGCCAGAATCCCATGCTAGAATAGGGATCACCAGAGTCTGTATTTCTCTTACCTTTATTTTGATGGTTTTAAAAATTAATTATGAATTTGTTAAAAGAATTAACTTATATAGTTTTCTTCAACTTTTTGTTTGAGAAAGGGGTTTTGGGGTTTTGGGGTTTTGGGGTTTTGGGGTTTTGGGGTTTTGGGG